CAGGGTGCACCACGTGGAGGTAGGTCTATCGCACACCCCGCAAACAAATATTTGCGATTAGCAAAATAAAAATATGGGGGGTGGGGCGGGGAGGAGAGATAAAGTTTTCACTACAAAATATCATGATCTTTAAGCTGAAAGTTGAAATGCAAACCTTCATTGTTTTTATTGCTTCCACTTAACTTTGACAGAATGGAATTTTATAAATTTAATTAACTTGGTAAAATGGTTTTAAAATTGAAATGTAAGAAAATTTCTTTGTGCGACTCGCATCATAACTGTATCGTGATAAACTCGATTTCCGCAAGAAATTCTCAAATGTTTACAGGAGAAATGCATAGGTATTCGGGTCGAATAACTAATGGCTTATTCACTGAAGAACGGAGCGAAACAAACTTTGAGTGGTTAAAGTCGTTAAATTTTAACTTTCACAAAATTCCATTGAGAGCAAGATTTCTTCTTTTCCTATGATTTCTGCTTATTATTCGGAATCATCAAAATCATGCTCATCATCATCAAATAATCTCCGGCCTTTGCTTTTCTTCCATCTCGTTACCTCCCAGAATAAGAGTAGTTTGCTACATAATTTGGTGCTCCTAATAGTCAAAATGACAAATAACAAGGCCCGACACATATTTATATCAAATGACAGGCCTTATGATGGCTATCATTAGCTCTTTAGTTTACTACAGGTTTCACAGAGAGGAGGAGGGACCGACAGAGGGATAAAAATTCGTGAAGAAAGGGAAACAGAAGGGTGATTCACAGATGTAAAAGAGACAGACAGGAACAAAGGGGGAGAGAGAAAGATATGGTGAGTATTGTGGAAGTAGTCGAATATGACATATAGTGGGATCATGGAAGTTTTAGGTCAGAAGTCAACTGCCAGTTTATAGACCTTTTCCTATGGAGGTAAGTCTATCGCGCACTCCGAGTTTCCAAACATGATATACAATATTACCACATATTGTTGCAACACGAATAAAAAAGACATTTTCATGTCGTCAATACAGACTTGAATTTTGATGGGTAAGTCACACTAATTTATAGATAAACAGAATTAATTTTGATGCAAGAATTTCTTCGCCAATCGTCAGTAGTATCCTTTCGTCTTAAATCAGGCTTCCGACTAACTTCTTGGTGGGGTATCCGTGTGGAAAATTTGTGGACTGGCCTTGTTTGCATTTGGTATCCCCAGCAGTTACGTTGTAAAAAACTGAGAAAGGACTGATTAATTGAAACGAAGGTGTGGTCACGTCCGTGTAAAGGAATGATCTACTGTGCTAGTTCTTCTACTGAGTTTCATGGATCTAATGATGTCTTAAATATTTCCATCTAGTTGACACTTGGATTCCAACGGAAATGTTATATACTTTTGATATAATTTCCGGATTCAGTCAATACTCTCCATTCAATGTTCTTAAAACACGTTTATCCAATAGATAAACGCACGTGATTAGCATACTGTGAGAATCAAAGAAGTGACAATTCCCAAAAGTTTTGTGTGTGTGTGTCCACAGAGCAATTGGAAGAACGTGACAAGAATTTTTGGGTTCCATTGGCAGTGGAAATGGCGAAGAAAGATGGTTGTGGCGGAAGTGAAGAAAACCAATTAGAGAAAGATGTTCAATCCTTATCTGAACTAGATGCAGAGTTAAGGAAAACTATTCCAAATATAGTCGTGATGTTCAATGAGTTAACAAAAACCATTAGTCAACGAAAAATAACGACACCAAATAATTTTGGAGGTATATTTGGTTGAGTTTTTGGCTTTTTCAATGTTCTTTTTTTATACCAAACTACCATCCGTGTCATATGAATAAGAAGGTTCAAGCTGTTATTGGGGTAGTTACAATAAAGCCGAAATGAAAAGGCTTATTGCCAATGCGTTCCAACAACAAATGAATTGCTCATTATTAATTGATAAGTTAAAGGGATCAGTGCTTCTTGCACAAAAGATATTGGACGTAAAAAAAAGTAAGCGTAAATAACTTTGTTAATTATTTTACTGTAGAAGAATTGGCTAAAGAAAACAACCTTAAAAGGAGAAATCAAGGCGGAAATAGTAACGTAAACTGTGTGGTGAAAAAAAAGTCCAGAAAGAGCTCTTCATGTTCAAAGCGAAGTGACTGAATGTCACAGAGAAGAAATGAGCCTAAGCCTCATGAGTTAGACTATTATTTGTCAATACAATTTTATTCGAAAGAATTACAATTCGGAAAATTTTCTCTTTGAGCTTGAGAGGGTCGCTTTGTTATGCCTTAGCACATTAGTCTTTCCTGCTTATAATTATTTTTATTTTTTTTAACAATCAGACAAACCTATTTGTGGGGGCATGACTTTAGTATGCATGATTGGAGGCAATTCGCGATTAATCAACGACCAAAATTCAGGACTTTCAATCAGCTGTCAAGGTCAGTTCATAGTTATCCGACAAACCAACGGCCAAGGCCAAACGCGGTAAATGGTACATTGGAATTTTACTGCACCTATCAAGAGGAAGAGACGTCAGAACAATTAAAAAAGGAACAATTATAAGCAAAACGCATTTATCTAACTAATCCTTTTCACTCCTCTTGGGAAGGGATGGAAAACGAGCATTCAAGGAATAATTTCTGTTGTCCTTCTACTTAGTGGAAAGTAACTATTGAGCAATTAGAAAGTTTCCGACAAGCGAAGCTGCGCTAAAAGATGGAAAGATGGTGTCAGCTTCCGGAGTAAAGGAAATAGGGAAATCTTCAAACTCCTCTCTTCTTGGCTGAGGAGTTTATTTATTTATATCAAATGGCAGGCGCTTTGATAGTTATCACTAGCCCCTTAGTTGACTTCGGGCTTCACAGAGGGGAAGGAACATCAAAGTGAAAAAAGTCTAGAGGGGGAAAGGAAAAGAAGAGCGTTTCAAAAATGTAAAAGAAACAGACACAAAGGTAGAAAAAAGGGTGAGGTGATTACTGTGGAAGTAGACGAATATGATATACAATGGGGTGGTGGTAGTTTGAAGTGAAAAGTCAACTGCCAGTTAATAGACTTTTGGCCGTATGGATATACGTTGCCCAGGGTGAGCCACGTGGAGGTAAGTCGGCCGTATGGATATACGTTGCCCAGGGTGAGCCACGTGGAGTGAAAAATGCAATGAATTCAATTTGTAACAAACCAAAATCTTTATATTAAGTAGCATTTTAAGTTACTCGGGTAAAAAGATTTAACCAAATTAAGCGACTGTTTTTATTGTCATAAGAAGCAATATCTTTTAGTTTTATTAACAGCTTAATTTATGTGATGAAATTCTTCGTATTCGACAAATATCCCACTGGGTTATTGGTATTCTCAAGTAATCAAAAGTTCCCCTTCACTGGCTCCAGGATTACAGTCAATGCTCGTCCCGACAATTTCTAATTTCTTCCAATGATTCAAAACACCATGTATTTGCATGACACTCAGGGGCTTATAGTCTTAATAAAATAGCTTTGACGCAATATTAGTTCATTTCAAATGACAGGTATTATGATAGTTGTCATTAGCTCTTAAGCTGACTTAGGGCTTCACAGAGCGGAGGAACATCAAAGTGGGAAAAATTCAAGGGGGGGGGGATTAGAAGATTGCTAACAAAAGATATTAACTCTTATATTTTTCCAGACATGGAAGTTAGGTGCACTTAATTGCCATATTTAGTTATTAACGCGGTTTCAGATGTGTGTTATTAATACTAACTGAACTAAGGAAAAAGCAATATCTAACCCGATGAAAAATTCTGAATAATGAAATTAAATTTTGATGATCAAATTTCTAGACAATAATGCACGAAATCTATCACCCTTATCTTACCAATTTTGTACTAAATAATTAAATTTTAATGAAAAAACATGATATTTTATACAATTTTGGGTTAGAACACGATAGTTTAATAAATATTAGAAAGCTCCAATTTTCTCACTTCGCTGATGATATTGGTCAAATTCTTGTGCCTAATGAGTACTCAAATATTATTTCTGAGACAATCGTTGTGTAGCGAGTGCTACGCGAATAGTCTCTTGGATAAACGTCAACAATTTTCTCTAGTAAAATCCCTTAGCATAAAAATTTGACCGAAATTAACTGACCTTTTATTGCATATGCTGGCCAACTATTCACTTTATTAGCCATTAAGTACAATCACTTTAATTCTATGTTGCATATACAAGATTTCTGCGTGGCCAAGGGATTTCTGTATGTATATCGGCACATTCCAAAATGTTCTAAAGGACGAATAAGATTGGATTCCTTCCTCCGCGAAATAGTAGAAGGTCTTCTTCAACCACACGCTCATCCAGAGAAAACTTAATGCAGATTGAAAAAAAAAACTTTGCACATGAGTTCCCATTAAATTCTTAACTTGGCTTAATTGGTATGACATCCACATTTTTGCTTAAGCATCGCCATCCACCCCCCCCCCCCCCCAACAAATAATTAGTTTGCATTGGTTTGGTTGGGCTGATCACTTGTCCAAGAAAGAGCGCGACAATTCAATAAATGATAACTCAGTGCAAGAAGAACGAACAAAAACGAACGAATGGTGTTTAGACATGCTGAAAATACTCTCTACTCAAAACACTCCTAGAAGTTAGGATGAGTACTGGTCTGGAAACTTTACGGCTAACTTTAAACTAATAGGTTGGTGACTTAAATTTTTGAGTGTATTCAGTTCAGTGAGTAAGTATCACCTCAAGGCACTGCCATTTTTTCTCTATTCTAAAGCCAAATGAGTGAGGGAAAAGACGAGCCAAAAAAGGAGCCAGTTTGGAAAACCATTCATCTAGATGGCAATCGTAAAAGATGTTTTTTTGCTCGAGATGAATTCTACGATTGCGTTAGGCGTGTTAATTATCAGAAAATGGAGAACCCTATCGATGAAATTGACTACTCTGAGTGTCGCGAATACCGCAAATATTATCGACTTCGTTGCCCGGGTTCATGGGTAGGTTCACTTTGAATGCTACTTATCAATCCTATGTCACCAAGTCAACACATTATCGTATTTCCCACCACTCTAGATCGAACTCTTTGACAGACGGAACGGTTTTATACCCGGTACAGATGTTGAAGGTGAAAATTAGTGAAAATCCATCTTCCATTCTCTACTCACTGTTACTCCCTATTTAGTCGTGCATAAACTCTTGTTTTAACCATGATATTGTCTATATTTATAAAGGTGTATGTATAATTAACGTCTTCACAGATTTTTATTCTTGGCTCTTCATCACAGAAATTCAAGGCCCATTTATGTTATTAATGAGTTTATCAAAGATACAGGCAAGATATAATGATACACAGCTCATAACCTTGAGAACCCCGAATAACCCAAGTAATGCCATAAATCATATTGATGTTTTCATACTCAAATTTATTCTTTGATCGATTTTTAATTTTAATGTTTTGCTCTGGATACGTTCTCATGTTGGATTCCTAAATTAGTGGACAACAGATTTCAGAATGAACATTAAAGCTAGCACCCAGTGTAAGTGAAAAACTAGATACAAAATCAATTTGTTATGCAATTATTGCATTAAACAGATATTTATCCCTATTTGGGGGTAGTTGGTGCCAATAACTGCATAGAAGCATTGTTCGGCATATAGTATGAGTCTGTGCATTCGGGAAATTGCAAAACAAGATTTAGAAATAAGTGACTGTGGCCTTTTCTCTCTCGATATTTTATGGGATACGCTTCGTCCTTGAAGTTCTTACTTCAGTGAAGGCGAAAGAGAATAATGGCAAACTATTGTTAAAGCAGCAACTCCCCTGAGCTTAGTATTTACGAAAACGTACGTTATTCTTTGATCTTCTTTTAGCTCAGATAAACAATAGAAGGGGTAATCATTATGTAAGGAATAAATGAAAATATAAAATTTGTCAAAGAAACATGCAGTGTTAATAGTTATTTTTTCTCCTTAATGTATAATGTGTGGCGGATTGCTACCTTAGTAAAGCCTGACCGACTCAAAAATCTCTAAGTAAAGCCTGACTGACTTAGAAATCTCTATGGCAGATTCTCCTGACTCAGAAATCTCTTTGGCAGATTCTCCTACATCTAGACCGACTCAGAAATCTCCATGGCAGATTCTCAAACATCTAGCTACCGGCTCAGAAATTTCTATGGCAGATTCTCCAACATCTAGCTAGGAATCAGAAATCTCTATGGCAGATTCTCCAACCTCTAGCTAGAAAGAACCAGCTAAGCTATAGCCCAGCTATAACGAACCAGCTAAGCTATAGCCCAGCTATAAAGGAAACAGACCGAAACTAGCTAAGCTATAGCCCAGCTATAAAGGAAACAGACGATAATTCGGAACACGTATATTCAGTCACGTAATGATCAGAAAAGTGAGCACGGAGCACGTGTATTCAGTACGAGTATTGCGGATAAGATGTACACGCAGGAAGCTTAATCATGATCAGGATGGCGGATTAGGTGAAACAAACAGAGGTTAATGATTGGTCACTGTACGATCGCACCTCCTAATCCTGGCGTCCAGGCATGCGATGACGTGTCCCACAAATGTTAGCGCAGTATCCTAAAGTGCTTATTGCATTTATCTTAAGAGAGTTATAGCTTTGATGTAACATCGATCATGAACTTTTATCTATGCTATTTTTCTGCATGTTAGCTGTAGTTCAATATGAACAACGATATGATGTAAGATTCTCGAAATTTGGTACTGACTTAATCAGTTAAACACCTTTCCCTGAACTTTAATTTTTCCTGAAAGTTTTGAATCGATTCTTGATAATTTCTCTGCAGCAATAACCATTAATTTATGCTTTACAATTGGTTATCACTTAGGTGTTAACACGAGAGTTCAGACTTTAGGCAATATAATGTGTATCGTAAATTATTTGCTGTGCGAAATCTTTAAGCTGATGACCTGTATGTAAGAAAATTCTTCATCAGACATCACTAGGTTTTGGCCTCGTTCGTTACCCCTGAGCTTAATGTTCTGGTTAACAATAAGTTCAACATATCATATTTTAATGATAGTTTTATTCAGAATTTGTCACTCGAACGAGCGCATCATTATGAGGCAACCGATAAATATACACAAAGGTGGAGAAAATAATATTTAAGCAAAGCTGCTGATCATCGCTTCAGAGAAAGGTACGACTGTCCATTAATAATCTGCTTCATTGGACGCAACTGACGCAGTGCATTCGCCAACATTGTCTCCGCAACATCATCTGTTCCAACACGTCCCTGAGCCGACCCAGACGATTGAGGAAGGAGTCTCTTGGACTTCATTTTCTTCAATAAATCCGGAAGGCTAATGGGTTTTCGCATGAGGTATTTTTTTACTGCAGCGACGAAATCATCATCAGCTGGTGTAGTTGCAGGAGCCGAAGGAGCATGCGATGAGTTCCCAATCAAAGTAGGTGCTGCTGCCGGTTTGAACCTCTTCGCTTGAGGACTAGAAGAGGAGTCGTCTTGGAATGGTCTTTTGGAGTTTGAGTGCTCCTCGGCTGCTTGAGCTGCAACCTTATCGGATATTCGTTGCAAAAGCTCCGTCTTCTTTTGGGCCTTACGAGCAAGATGACTAGGGTCATCAGGAGCAATATCAGAATCAGAGCCTGAAGATGAACTGGAATCACTGGAGGAATCGGAGGCCGAGCCCTCCTCGTTGAAAGAACGATTCTTCGAGTCACCACTGCGATGGCCTTTGTGGTGTTGGCCTTCGTTCTCTAAATCCTCTATGTCCGATTCGTCGTTTGATTCCTCATCGTTAGATTGAATAAACTCCTCTTGCTCCTTCTTTTCCTGGTCCTTATTCTCATCCTCATCTGAATCACCTGAAGTGAGGAAAATACCGAATTTCGGTGGATTCAACAACTGATAATATTGGCAACTGCAGCTTTTGCTGATAGTTTGATGTAATAGTGAAATTTGGGGGTGTGCGATAGACTTACCTCCACGTGGTGCACCCTGTGGGTGTGCGATAGACTTACCTCCACGTGGTGCACCCTGGGAAACGTATACTCATACGGTAAAAAGTCTATTAACCGGAAGTTTGTGTGCGATAGACTTACCTCCACGTGGTGCACCCTGGGCAGCGTATTTTCTTACGGCAAAAAAGTCTATCACTCGGCTTTCGTTATATTCATACGGCAAAAAGTCTATTAACTGGCAGTTAACTACGATAGACTTACCTCCACGTGGTGCACCCTGGGCAACGTACTTTCTTACGGCAAAAATTCTATCACTCGGCATTCGTTTTTCAATAGACTTACCTCCACGTGGTGCACCCTGGGCAACGTATATTCATACGGCAAAGTCTATTAACTGGTAGTTGACTTCTCCGCATACGGCAAAAAAGTCTATTAACCGGCAGTTTTCTTCTCACTTCAAACTACCATGACCCCCCTATATGTCCTACATTCTCATACGGCAAAAAAGTCTATTAACCGGCATTTGACCTGACTCCAAACTACCATCACCTCACTGCATGTCATATTCGACTCCTTCACAGTACTCACATTACCTTTTTCCTGCCTATATGTCTGTCTGTCTCTTTTACATCTATTAATCATTATTCTGCCCCCCTCTCGACTTTTGTCACTTTGA